TCGGTAGATGCTTAAATAAATGATTGATGGTAATGAGGTAATCATGAAAAGGTAAAATAGCAGCTAACAGAATGTGTTTATTCTGAGGATATGCTAAAAAAAAAGTCCAGTGGGTAATAAAAAGTGGTACTTTGCTACACACTTCAGACATTGTAACTTAGCTACAAATTTCCACTGCATGGATATATTACACTTACACATTTATACATTACTTTGTTAAAATACTATTTAAGTACCTGTTGCTTCTTAGAATTTCAAACTCAATGAATTACTTCTAATTAAGTCTGGTAAGAATTTTGATCAGTTTTGCTCTCCCTGCTGTCAACAATACTATCTAGCTCCCATTATAATCAAGTGTAGTTAAATTCTGGTAAGCATATAATACCTGATAGTCTGTACTCTGCCAACATCAATATACAGTCTGGATCTGAAAATAACAGTCCAAAAAGAGGACACAAGCCAAACAAACCTTCGATCCAGGAACAGAAGGTCAACCCACACCTAATTAAGGACTTATTGATTCTTTTAGAATGTTTGCAGACTAGCAAGCACCTTTGTTCCAGCGTACTGGGCAACTCAGCGGCATCACAGAACAACAGACATTTCCTTACAACTTACAGAAACCATTTTGGAACACAAGCTGTTCCTAAGTTAGAAACTTTTGGCTTTTTTATTTTAGAGGAGGTAAGACTCTAGAGGGAGAGGATACGTCGTCTTATGGAATAAAGTTGTTTCTTTTTAAATGGGCATTTTATGATCCTTATTCTCCCCACCCCTAAAAGGAACAGATGTGGAAATTAGGGCCCAAAGAATGTGAATCTCTGCCTACCCAGTATCAACTTCCTCTTCATTTTCTTTATTAAGATTCTAATTCTCTCTGCAGTATCAGGCTGTTTGCAGCTAAGGGGGCCATGTGACATTTGGCCAATGAGATGGAGCAGAGGGCTTCAAGTTACTCTTTCCTAACACAAAGAATATCTGGGATAGATCTTTTGTCCCTCTTCTTTCCCCCTTCTTCCAGACTGGAAGAGAGCCATGGAAACTGGAAGCACCCGTCTTTGTAAGCATGAAAACAAAAAACTACCTTCTAAGACAAAAAAGCAAAAAGAGGAGTTAGGTGCTTAACAGTACCATAAACTGAAACCCCTGCCCTTTGCCCATCTTATCAGGTGAGAAAAATAAAACCTGTATCTGTTTAACTACTGTAATCAGATTTATTTTGTATACAGATAAATGTAACCCTAACGGATATAGACAGGCAATCAGGAACCATGTCGAAGAATGAGTCAACTATACTTCAATTAAAAAAAAAGAAAAGAAAAGAAAGTGAGAGAGGACTTCAAAGACTTAAGCCCTATACTTAATCTTTATATGCCTGTTTTCTCTTTCTTTAACTGAAGGTCACTATAATTCCTCTTTTATAGTCTTTCCAGAGTTATTTTTTTTTTCTAAAGATTTATTTATTTGACAGAACAAGAGAGCAGGAGAGCACTAGCAGTGGAAGTGGCAGAGGGAAAGGGAGAAACAGGCTTCCCGCCGAGCAGGGAGCCCGATGTGGGACTCGATCCCAGAACCCTAGGATCATGGCCTGAGCCAAAGGCAGTCGCTTAACTAACTGAGCCACCCAGGCGCCCCTCCACAGTTATTTTGAAGCTGAAATGAATTTATGCCAATACATTTCATGAACTGTGAAAATACTAAACAAATGTGAGATATTAATAAGGAGTGGTTAGCTCTTGCTATAACATTTTGAACTATGTTGCTTTCCTAAGAACTTTGCTAAGCCCCTTTTCTCATCTTTATAAAAAACAAAAATAACAACACTTATCTTTGTCTCACAGAGTTATCACCAGGTTCAAATGAGGTAACTTAGTTTACTGCAAATAGTTAACCACTATACAAATGTTGGCAACTGTGGAGTTATTATGAAAGTGGTGTGATGTACTACTGATTTGCATAAAATTCCTGAGGTTGCTTCCTCCTCTAATTTAGCTGGATGACCTTGAGGAATGTATCAAACTTCTGAGGCTCATTTTCTCATCTGTAAGTGGGGATGTTAGTAAGTGTACCCCTCCCTCATGTGTTATACTAAGTGTAGCAATACTGCTAGGTTAAGTTATGCTCCAATAACCACTGCCTTCTTCTCCCTAAGTGACAGAACCCCTGAACTGGGTGCTTGGATGGCCACCGAAAATAAAGACTACATTTCTTAGCCTCCCCTGTGGCTGGGTTCAAGCTACATTTTGGTCAGTGGGATGTGAGCTGAAGTGATGCGTGCAACTTATAGGTCAAACCCTTAGTGGAAAATGTCCTCCACGTCTCCCCTTTGATCCTCTTCAATGGTGAAATGTGGTTGAAGCAGAGAGCCATCCTCAGTCATGCAGAAGGGGGCACCAAAATTTAGCACAGCGAAGCAACAAGAGAGAATACCCTGCATGCCTGGTCTGTTTGTATACAGGCTGTTAGAGAAGAGAGAAATCAGCTATTTTGTTCAACCTCTGGTATTTTGGTGCAATGTATTACAGCAGCCTAAATTAGTAGCCTAACCTATATCCTCACTTATTCAGTAAGGATTAAAGGAAACATGTGAAAGCAATCCACAAACCATAAATCAACTATATAATTATAGTTATATAGTTATATGTCTCAATAATGACTTAAATCTTTTACAGCTCATCAAATTGTCAACTGTAAAAACTATCTGAATTATGAAAAGACATAAGGTCAGATTAACACAAAACAGATTAGGTCTTGAAATGCAGAGCCAACACTCAAGTATATGTTCAGCCTATCTCAGAGGAGCTGGAATTTGGGATACAAAGTATTCTGCAAAGCAAATAAGTTTTAAGAGTAATCAAAACTTAACCTTGTCTCCACTTATGTCCACTTGACAGCCAGCCTTTTTATGCAGTGTCAGCCACACCACTGAGACACAGTGAGAAAGGGTGGAGTAAACAACAGAGCTATATGGATGCTGGGTGTATTCGTTTCTTAGGGCTGTCATGACAAATTACCATAAACACGGTGGCTTAGAAGGAGAGAAATTTATTTTCTCATAGTCTGGAGGCTCACACATTTCACAGTTTATGAATTGTACTGGCAGTCCAGAATCCAGATACTGGTATTGGTAGGGTTTACTCCTTCTGGAAACTCTAAGGGAGAATTTATTCCATGCCTCTCTTCTAGCTTCCAACAACTGCCAGCAATCTTTGGTGTTCCTTGGCTTATATGCATCACTCCAATCTGTGCCTCTACCCATCCCATCCTCTTATCCTCTGTATGTCTCTGTAATCCCAGTTTCTTATAAGGATACTCTCATTGACTTAAGGACCTACCCTAATTCAGGATGATCTTATCCTGATAATTACCTTAATTACATCTGTAAAGACCTGATTTTCAAATAAGGTCACATTCTGAAGTTGACTGTTATGAGTTTATAGTCCCCCAAAAGATAAGATGAAGTCCTATTCCCCAGCATAGTAGAGTCTGACCTTATTTGGAAATGGGTTTATTGTAGATGTATTTAGCTAAATGAGGCCATGGTGGAGTAGGGTGGGCTCTTTCTAATATGACTGGTGTCTTTATAAGAAGAGAAGTGACACAGAGACAATGATACATAGGCAGAATGCCATGAGGTGTTGAAGGCAGAGACTGGAGTGATGTGTTCACAAACCCAAGGAACACAACAGACTGCTGTCAAACTATTAGAAATTAAGAGAAAAACATGGAAGAATTCTCCCTTATAGGTTTCAGAGAGCACATGTCTCTGCCAACACTTTGACTTTGGACTTCTAGCCTCCAAAACTGTGTTAGACTACATATCTGTTGTTTAAAGACATACAGTTTGTGGGTTTTCTCTTTCTGTTTTTATGGCAACCCTAGGAAGCTAATACAGGGGTGAACATGAATTTGAGGGGGGCATGATTTAACCCACAGCACCTTTGCCATGAGGGCTGCTTTCAACGCTGGCACTGGCAAAATGGATCCTGTCACCATCAAGAACCTCATCATCTTAGAAAACAGTGGAACCAAAAGGCCATAATCCTTGCCCCGTGTTCTTGATGGGAATGACTCATTAAAAGTATGATGAGTCCCTTCAGACTGTCAGTGATGCTTCTTACACCACTAACTCTTTCCCTCAACTTCTCCACCCGGACAACTCATGGCATCATTCTAGACTTGTAACCACAGGCCACACTATCACTGCTATTCAGAAGACCATGGCTAGCCTCTCTGGCAAACTACAGCGTAATGGTTGTGGTGATGCCAAAATGTCATGCCAGTATCCGCTAGCACTGGCAAGGCTTTGGGCGAGGTCATCCTGAGCTGCATGGGAAGCTCTCTGGCATGGTCTTCCACACTCCCAACTCCCAACGTGACGATCAAAGATCTGACTTGCCATCTGCACAAAGCTAACAAACATGACTACATCAAGAAGGTGGGGTAGACAAGGGTCAAATGGAACTCTGAAGAGTGTCCAGGGCTACACTAGAGTTAGCCTGATTAGTAAGACTTTCACCATAACACCATCCAATTTTGACGCTGAGGTTGCCAAGCTGCCATTGCCCTTAACCACCACAACATCAAGCTCATTTCCTGATGTGACAACAGATTTGGCTAAGGCCCCTTGATGGTGGATCTCAGAACCCACATAGAATCCAATGTGTAAGAGCCCTGGACCTTATCCCCAGCAACAGCACAAGAGAAACAGAGAGGAACTCAGCTGCTGGGAAGTCTGTGCCCAACTGTATTCCTCGACATTATCTCTCATTGTCAGTCAGTTTCTATCCTCTAAAGAAAGGTTAGAAAGCTCTGCTTCATCATATAGTATCATATCCAACAACAAAATCCTCACTGTATCCAATGAAAGAGTGAGAGGTATGCTAGGGGATTGACTTTAATAATTAGTGAGCTACAGCTGAGATTGTGACAGGACAGTAAGTACTATAGATGAATGATTTAATAACATTAACTCTTGAAAGCTCTAGTGCATTTCTTACCTGTATATTCAGAAAATGGCTTATGTATCACTCCTAGCACAGGTTTACCATTCACAGCCACACATACCATAGTAGTGACATACTTTCGAAGATCCTCTATGAAGAAAAAGAACACAAAAACCCAATAACAGAAATTATTAAAATAATTTAAAATTTTAGTTTTAAATTTGAAAATCAAGTCAAATACTTAGAATAGTCCCTGCACAAGATATGCACTCACTAAATATTATCACTAGTGTATGATCAGGCCAATTCTGGTTTAGAAAAAATTATTAAAAAAACCCTCAATATTCCCTATTTCTATTACCTACTTCTGCAAAATATTTTCTAATTTCAGTTACTACTAGACACCTTGTATCTTCCTCCTATTCTCCAAATAGTTACCTACTGACTGTCTATTACGGTCAAGTTCAGTGCTTAAGGACTAGGATACAAAGATGAAAAAGCGGAAGGCCCCACATTCAGAGAACTTACTATCTAGAAGGAGGGCACATAGATAAGCAATTAACTACCATATACACCAACAAAAGAGAGAAAAAGCAGGAATTGGTTATCTCTGGGTAAGAAACAAGGCATTAGAGAGGAGCTACAGAAATGAAATCTGACCTAGGACTAGGTAAAAAAACAAAAGAAAATGGAGATGAGGGCAGTAATTCTCTGTTTTCCTACTTAATTACCCCTGGGTGCCTAGGATTTACTATTCTGAATTCCAAAGATAGATGTATACGCAATAAAACCTAAATTCCCCAAATCACAAGTAAATATTGTATTCTGGCTATATAAATAAATACCTGAACTCACACCTCAATATATAACTCCATCTATAAACAAACACTTCAATAAATAGATGTCTAATAGGAATGATTTTGCTGTGACTGCTAAAAATCTCCCTTCTCTGAAGGATCAGTGAAACAGTGAATCGCTATCATCAATAGGAGTATGCCACAATATACTGGTTTTGGGGCTGGGGGTAAAGGTTGAGAATAACTGATCCAGTTCAAAGGTTTCATATCGCATTGCGTTAATCCAGTTGTCTGTCTTAAAATCTAATTGGAAAAGTTGTGTAAGATCGGTAACGTATTTACCACCAAGTATATACTAACTGCCTTTGTTCTGGTTCTCTAATATATAATGGCAATCTGAAGTTTGAGATCAATTTTTTTTTTTTTTAAAGATTTTATATATTCATTTGAGACACAGAGATACACAGAGAGAGAGAGCATGAGCAGGGAGAGAGGCAGAGGGAGAGGGAGAAGCAGGCTCCCCGCTGAGCCAGGAGCTCGATGTGGGGCTCGATCCCAGGACCCTGGGATCATGACCTGAGCCGAAGGCAGACGCTTAACCATCTGAGCCACCCAGGCGCCCTGAGATCAATTTTAATGTAAAGTCACCTGTATATTCCTGTGTAGCATCAAGTGGATCGATCCAGACAGTAACACTTTCTGCTGGTACCTCTTTAGGGGTGGCTATTTCCTTCAGGACGTCCTCAGGAATCTTACGATCCCATAAGATAACCTCCTGATCAGCTGCATCCACATGTTCCTCAGTATTTATCTGCACCAAAAATAGATGACAGTTAAAAAATTTAGAAAGAAAAAAATGCCACCTGAGAAAACACAAAAGAGAAAAACATTTCAGACCAAATCACACAAACTGAAAGTAGGTAAATCAGTATTTTTATTTTGAAGCATTTCACTGTAAAATGGACACATATAAAAGAAATTCCAGCAACATCTGGTCTTCAAGTACCTTCCAATCCAATATTCAAGCTGTCTGTTGCCGAAGACAGAGAATCCAATTATAGAAAAATACAGAGAAACTAAGAAACAAACTATTTAAAGCTTAATGATATTTATAAAAAACAGTAGATCTAAAGTGTGAAAATAGACTGACAATATTATGGAACATTGAACTGAATGCAATCAACTATAAGAGGAAAAGAAAAGGGACAATGGACTTAAAAGAAATATGCCTTAAAACAGAGAAATGATGAATGCTAAGAGACACAATATTCTAGAAAAGTAATCATCTAAAATATACCTTTGATCAATAGAAAAAAGAAACCTGGAAATAATGAAATAGATCATAAACTAGTACATTATAAAATGTAAACAAAACTGAGACGGGTAATCCAAAAGGACAAAAAAAAGATCAGTCTTCTCTTCATTATAAACCAAAGGTATGTCACAGGATAAAATGCTGAAGTCAAATTTTCTATTTTTATTTACTAGGAAACAATGTTAAAATATAAAATAAATCTGATTTATCATAAGATATGTAAAGGTGTGGGTGAGTAGAAAACCACTGCTTTCAACAGTGAGCTTCTTAATGAATACTTAAAATACATTTTGGTTTATAAAACAATGATTTAATGTGTTAGAATTTTATTTACCTTTGTAAATAAAGGACATACCAATGAGGCAAATCTAAGAACTGACTGTGTTTTAAGAATGAGGTTAATAACAGACTGTCAACCTTATTTAAATACTACCTTATCAAAAGACTCCCTCTATCAAATCATAACATACACATGCAAGAAAAAATGTCCCCAAGATGGGAATTTCCAGTAGAAAGACTGGAGCAGGACAGGCTTTTGGGTGCTATGCTTTCTGACAAGCTCCCTTTCTTTTTTTTTTTTTTAAAGATTTTATTTATTTTTCAACAGAGAGAGAGACAGTGAGAGAGGGAACACAAGCAGGGGGAGTGGGAGAGGGAGAGGGAGAAGCAGGCTTCCCGCTGAGCAGGGAGCCCGATGTGGGACTGGGTCCCAGGACCCTGGGATCATGACCGAGCTGAAGGCAGACGGACAAGCTCCCTTTCCACAGCAGATCACTGTGTTTATACTGCATGTGATTCCATGCCCAGACCCCAAACTAGAGTGTCAAAGTGATTATAACACTGACACCTATATAAGTAAAAAGTCACACACGGTGAAAACCCTACAAATACCAGCAATCTCTGGAAAGTGCCTTGACATATCCCAAATTGTCAGGGAGAAAGTTAAAAATAGTAATATTCCAGAAACATTAAGCCACTTAAATCAAAAAATATTTTTAATACGGTGTAAACATCCAATCCATCCATTCACTTATTCCTTTATCAATTCTGCAAATGTTTACTGATTGCCAGTTCCAGGGCCTGATGTGTAACAGTGATCAATGTGAGACAAAAATCTCTGCCCTTGTGGAGCTTAGCAGAAATTCTGGAGAAGGAGATAAACAATAAACAAGATACATAAGTAAAATGTGATATGCTGAATAGTGACAACAAGGAGACATAGAATGTAGCAGGGAAGAGTGTGCTGTAGGACAGAAGAAGGGTTATTCTTTAAGATAGGGTGCCTGGGATTATTCATACTAGCCAAAAATTATAAACTACCAAATGTCCATCAACAGATGAATGGATAGACAAAATGTGGTACATCCATACAATGAAATGTTAGTCAGCCAAAAAAAAAAAAGTACTACTCATACTATAGCACTGATGAACCCCCAAAATATGCTAAGTGAAATAAACAAGAAACAAGACATCACATACTAGATGATTCCATTTATGTGAAATGTCTGTAACAGGCAAATCTATGGAGTCAGTTGATTAGTGGTTGCCTGGGGTAAGGGTGGGAACAGAGATTAGCAGTAATTGGGCACAGGTATATCATTAGGGCGATGAAAATGTTCTAAAACTGATTAATGACAAAAGTTGCACACCTTGGCAAATCTAAAAACTACTGAACTGGACATTTGCAATGGGCAAATTATAGGATATGCAAAATATGCTGCAAAAAAGTTGCTGTTTGTTTTCAAAGATAGGGCAGCTAAGGAAAAGGTGGTATTAGAATGACAATTTAAAGGAGGTGAGCCTAGCAGGCATCTATCTAAAGGCACCTTCCAGCCCATGGGAGTAAAAATGCAAAGGCCCTGAGGTGGGAGTGTGCCTGTTATACTCAGAGCAAGCAAGGAGGCCAGTAGGGCTAGAGTAGAGTAAGCCAAAAAGAAAGGAGCTGAGTAAACCAAGAAGAAAGGATGAGGTTTGACAATAATGGAAACCCAATGGTGAAGGACACTGCAGGCATGACACAGAGTAAGCTGCCCTCCATCATAACCTCTGTTAACAATGTACAGAGTGTCTTAGCCATTGCAGAAAGCTAAAGGAGGGTGGCCTACGTAGGGAGGTACAGAGATAGAAAGGAAGAAGCGAAATCGTAACATACAACTGGTGAAAATCCAAAAGAACTTGTAGATAAATTACAGAATAACACCAAAGTCTCTAGATATATAAGATCAATATTTAACAATCAATTGCACTTCTTATATACCAGAGACAAATACTAAAAGTATTTAACATAAAAATGGAAGCCACTTAAACAAAAGAAGTAAATTCTCCAGACATAAAACTACCCAAGATGTGCAAAAGCACTATGGAGAACATTCTCCATTCTCAACTCTCAATTCTCCTATCAGTAAATCTATAGATTTAATGAAAACTCCAATCAAAACCCCACAGATTTGTTTGTTTTTTAATCCCTTCTTGGAAAAAGAGCAAGCCATTTTGGTGAAAGAAAGGAAAAAAAAAAAAAAGAAAGAAAGAAATATCATGGTGGGAGGACTTTCCTGACCAGATATCAAGACTTACTATTAACTTATTATGTTAGACTACTAAGACTGTGGCACTGGTGACATATTTGGCTCTTCCCCCCCAGCTTCACTGAGAAAACTATACATATATACATACATATAAATATATGTGTAAAGTGTACAGTGTGATAATGTGATATATGTATATACTATAAAATGATTACCATAATCAAGGTAATTAATGCATCTATCACTTATTTACTTTTTTCTTTTGTGGTGAGAATGCTTAAGATCTACTCTTGAAGCAAATTTCAAGTATATGATACAGTATTATTAACCATAACCATCTGACTGTATATTTGATGCTCAGAACTTACTCATCTTAGTCATAACTAAAAGTTTACACCCTTAGACCAACATCTCCATTCCCTCATTCCCTAGACTTTGGCAATCACCATTTTAATCACTGTTTCTATGAGCTCAACATTTTTTTTTTTTTTAGATTCCACATATTAGTGATACCACACAATACTTTCTCTGTGTGGCTTACTTCACTTAGTATAATGCCCTCCAGGTTCAACCATGTTATCCCAAGTGGCAGGATTTCCTTCTTTTTAATGGCAGAATAACATTTCAGTGTGTGTGTGTGTATACACATACTTATGTGTATATATACACACACACACACATACATACATATATACCCTTTTTCTTTATCCATTCACCTACTGACAGACACTTAACTAATCATTTCCGTATTTTTGCTATTGTGACTATTGCCACAATGAACATGGGAGTGCAAATATCTCCAGATACTAATTTCATTTAGATATATATCCAGAAGTAGGATTGCTGGATCATATGGTAGTTCTGTTTTTAATTTTTTGAGGAACCTCCATTCTGCTTTCCATAATGGCTATACTCATTTACATTCCCACCAATGGGGTAAAAATTCTCTTTTCTCCACATGCTTGCCAACATTGACCTCTTGTCTAATAATAGCCATCCTAACAGGTGAAGTAATATCTCAGTTGTATTTTAGATTTGTATTTCCCTGATGATTAGTGATGTTGAACACCTTTTCATATAACTGACAGTCATTTGTAGGTCTTCTTTGGAAAAATGTATATTCAGGTCCTTTGCCCATTTTTTATTGGATTACTTATTCTTTTGCTATTGAATTGAATGAATTCCTTATATAATTTAGATATTAGCCCATCAGATACATTGTTTACAAATATGTTCTGTCATTCCATAGTTGCCTTTTCCTTTAGTTGTTTCCTTTGCTGTGCAGCTTTCTAACTTGATGTTGTTTCACTTGTTTATTTTTGCTTTTTTTTTTTTTTAGAGGGTGGGGCAATAGAGAGGGAGAGAGAAAATCTTAAGCAGGTACCATGCTAGGCGGGGCTCAATCTCACAACCCTGAGATCATGACCTGAGCCTAAATCAAGAGTTGGATGCTTTGACCAACTGACAGACCCAGGTGCCCCTATTTTTGCTTTTGATTTCTGTACTTTTAGTGTCTTTTCCAAAAAAATCATTGCTAAGACCAGTATCAAAGAGCTTTATGGTTTCAGGTGGTATGTTTAAATTTTTTGTGCATTTTGAGTTAGCTTCTGTTGAGAGTTGTAAGATAGGGATCCAGTTTTATTCTTTTGCATATAGATAACCAGTTTTCCCAGCACCTTTATTGAGGAACCTATCTTTTTCCTGTAGTATGTTCTTGATGCCTTGTCAAAGATTAGTTAAACGTGTATGTGTGGATTTATTTCTATATTCTATTCCTTTGGTCTGTGTGTATGTTTTATGTCACTACAGTATTGTTTTGATTACTATAGCTTTGTAATTAATTTTAAGTCAGGAAATGTGATGCCTCCAGCTTTGTCCTTCTTGCTTAAAATTGCTTCAGCTACTTGGGTCTTTTCTGGTTCCATGTGAATTTTGGATTATTTACTCTATATCATTGAAAACTGCCATTGG